TAAAATCATACAAAAACACATCTGATTCGTTGTATCAATTTTAAGAGCATTTACTTAGTTATACCCCTTGTCCTGTTGACTTATTTATGACACTCTAGTCTGAAGAACTTGCGATACTCCATTATACATGATTGAGGTGCCATGAAAGTAGGTGATGTATTTAATGTTTGACCTCACGTGACGGTATATACTAACTTTTTGTGGTAATATTTGTGAATACATATCAATATCAATGATATAAAGTGATACAACAGATATCAACGGGATGTTCAAATTCATAAGTCGAAAATAAATGCCATGGCTGGAAAAGAAAACAAAACGACCAAAAGACAAATAACTGTATACAGAAACAACATAAAAAACTAAAAATTGCTCAGGGTGCCACATGTGGAGCAGGATCTGCTTACCCTTACAGAGCACCTGAGATCACCCCCAGTTTTTTGGTGGGGTTCGTGTTGCTCAGTCTTTAGTTTTCTATGTTGTGTTTTGTGTATTGTTTGTCTGTTTGTCTTTTTTCTTTTTTAGCCATGGCGTTGTTAGTTTATTTTCGACTTATAAGTACAAACCCGGTAATAAGTCTAATTTGGTAGGTCACATTCGGGAAAGGGGGGACGGGATTGTAGTTACGACATTAGGAACATATCCACTATCATCTGTGAAACGGATATTCCATAACGGTCAACCAACTCGTGATGGCGTCCGTAAATGACGTTTAATCATATAACACTTTTCAGTATCTTTATACTATTGTAAAACTCATCAGAGATTCTAAGTTATTGATTTATACAACAGACATGCGTTTCAGCTACACAAGTTTCATCATCGACTCTCAAATGAAAAAAGTTTGAAACCAAAATCGAAAAAAAAATACCCCAAAATTCTCAAATATAAACCTTTCTTCGGTAAAACAATCAAACAATTTTATCATTTAGTAAAGAAAATATATTACCATTAATGTTATATGAACGCTGACTGTAAGGCTGGTGATACCTTCAGGGTAGAGACGCCTACCAGCAATTGTATTTATGTCGCTTAATCTTTAAATAGCAGTTGTTACTCAAAGAGGCAGGGCAAATGTCCCCTGAATTTGTTTCAACCATAGGGTAAATTCCTTAAGATTTATTTGATTCATAAGGTCCCTCGCATTAGTATTTTTTTTCATTTAGATCAAGAGGGGTTTCACTACTCAGCGACAAGAAGCGTCACGTTTAGAAGGGTCATAAAGCGACAAGAAGGGACAAGAAGCTAAAAGAAGAATAATTTAACGACAAAAGACTAATTAAGCGACAAGAAAAACTTATTACTAATTATTTCAAATAAATAATTATGGAAATATACATGTATTTTCATTATTTAATTTGACTTCTTGACGCTTTCTGTCTCTAATAAGTGAGACCGGATCAAGAGTAATAATTTGCCTTTTGATGGAGGTACGATATTAATATTGCACAATACAAGAACCATATTCTTTTTGGATGATACCAAAATACATCTACGCATGCGCCACATTTTGGAATAAACGTTGTATGTAATAAGACTTATTGTTCGAGAAGTAGTTTATTCAAAACTTTTGAGATTATAAAAATCAAAAATTGCATTAACAGTCTTAACCTGAATGAGGGAAAAAATGTGACGCATACTTCAATAAAACGGCAAACTTACGATACACAAAAGTAAACATACGGTTTTCAAGAAAATAAAAGGCTTATTGACCAACCTCCTCCATTTGTCACTGTAAATTCAGAAATTATTGCGATGTTTTTATTATTGCGAAAAATGCGACAGGGTTATAATCGCAATAATTCAAACTCGCATTTTGAAATTTTTTATATGAATTAAACAGGATTTTTCTCAATATCGCAAAAATTAAAATTGCATTTTAGTCTAAAATGATAAAATCGCAATAATAAATGCACGCAATTTTTTCTGAATTTACAGTAGCTTCATTATTACAAGTGCCGTAAAGAGCTTGATGCATGATATGTGTGCTACAAAAATATTGATTGTTAAATAGGCAAATTTCGTCCAAATATTGGTAAGTATTTTTTTTAAGATATCTAAAGAGTAGGTTGTTGTACGGTCTTAACAGTGATTCACAACAGGATCAATAGCTGACCAAAAATGTGTATTTACATCTTTTCGTGGCTGACGTCATTGAAACATATCTGTGTTTTTATTCACAGTCAACATTTTTAAGCTGTTTTACGATCTACCCATATTTCAGAATCCATTGATGTGACTTGTTTCAAAATTGTGTTATCCTGAATGTGCCCTAAGTAAATTCAAGTGAATTTAAAAATTGTGTCAATAAATCATAGGAATAATGACAGTTGGAGTTATATCAACCCTATTTCTATCTGCTATTGGTTATTTACTCGACTTATCAAAATATGTCAAGGTACAGCTTTACATTATGGAAGCCAAATATTTTTTTGATTTATATTTAGTTTATATCAATTATACCTATATTTTGTAAAACATTTGGTTAACTTGATTATTCAAAAATTGATTTGAATAGGTAGAGGTATTTGCATAAATATGTAAAAAGACAACATCTTATATTTTGGCATTGCAAAAGTTCATGGTCTATCACGCTAACAAACGTTATTTCAGGATAACTACAATGTAATGCACTTTTAAACATATTGCAAATATTTTTTAGATATTTAAATTTTAGATTTTTTTTACATTGAACAACGGTTACGTTTTGAGGAAGTTAGCAGGTATACGATTACGCTTTTTAAACCTAGACATTTTCCATGAAAACACGATTACGTGCCCTAAGACGACAAGTTACAAATTACCGCTGGAATAACAGTTTTATAGCAATTTGCAACTCTTTCTGACATTTATTTAGATTTATGGAGCATACTGATTAATTCTAAGCTTTATATTTGTTTTCTTCCTTCCCACTGGAATCTTTTTTTAACTTTCAGTGATGTTTTAATACCGGTGGAATGTCATGTCACTATAGCACGTCAATGATATAAATCGATATCCAATGTATTAACATTTAAAGGACACATCAACCCATAGATTAAAAATGAGAGGCGAAAGATACCAAAGTGATATTCAAACTAATGTTTCTCACTTTTTCCCAATTTAGACAAAAGGTCAAATTGTAACTGCTGTTGTTCAATTGATTATGACATTCACTATCTTGCGATAAGTTCATTTATGCATTTCTAATAGGTGGGTAAATGTGTTTAAACAAGTATTTTTTACGATCTCTGATGTTGTTAGGTTGTCATTCAAAAAAGAATACAACATTAATCGTGTTCATCCCCGATCGTAATGTGCTGTTCTTAACTTCAACAAGCCAGAAGAAATGGCATGCAGAAATATAACAATGAGTTTAAAATTCAAGAACGGTATTAGTCTGACAAGTACTCTTAAAAAATCTAGAATTCTAATCCAAATCTTTGATCAAAATCATGTCACTTTTGCAGTAATATCAAAACTTTTGATTAGCAAAGCTACGCCTTACACATCTACTTCCGTTGCTCAATGGTCAATCAAGTACATTGTCTCTTTAAACAGAGGTTATTTTTACTAAAATGGGAGTCGAAAATAAAGATTCCTTGTTACAAGTCATGAGAAAATACACTTTGTGAAAAAAACCACAATGATTCCAACCACAAAATACGTTGAAGATGATATCATCAAAATGCTAGACATTTGTTATCTACAACATATTTGCTGAGTTTAGTGGATTGATGTTACAACTGCAGACAGTCGGTATTTTAATGAGCACTAGTTTATGCACCACCACTACCCGACTGTATTCATAAGAAGCTGAACTCATACAGAACATTATAAAAGACAGAAATAAAACATCTAGCAAAGTTTTTTAATCCTGTCATCCCATTACCAATATTATTTTAGTGGTTAATTCCAATTAAGGTTTTTAAATTATAAACTGGAAGATCCGATTTGAATATTGATCTGTTTATAGATATTGACACAGATGGACGACAAAGTCTAAGACAAACGTGATGATTTCAATTTTCAAAAAGTCAACTTCCAATTCAACTGCAGTAACATACCTTCTTACCCTTCGTATGACTTTAAAATGTCACATTTTAACAACACGGTTATATATCTTAAGACACTATTATGATCGACTTATCCGTAATTTCGCCGATTGTGAATTAACTCCATTCGTGGCAATTTGACTAAGTGTGGATTTGTGTGATAAAATACAAAAATAAGTCAGCAATGAACGAGGTTATTAAATGGAATATAGGCTTTTTTGTACTTTTTGGTTAAATATTTGTTCGTTTTTGTTGTAATTAAGATTGTGACACGGTGTTGACTGAGGTACCCCTATTTTACATTTTTACCTAATTTTTCTGTTTGTTTTATTCACACATCGTTGTCAATATAATGGAATTTGATGCAACTGTCATACAAGTGAGAGGTTCAGCGCTATAATACCAGGTTCAATCCACCATTTTCTACAAAATGCTCGTACCAAGTCAGGAATATGACAGTTGTTGTCCATTCGTTTGATGTGTTTGTGCTTTTGATTTTGCAATTTGATTAGGGACTTTCCGTTTTGGATTTTCCTCGGAGTTCAGAATTTTTGTGATTAAACTTTTTGCATGATATATGACAAAAAAATGTATGATGCTTCCCTTCTCACTCCTCTCTAAATGTTCATGCGATTTCCTGAGTTTTAGTTTGTTACCTATATTGGTATCCTCTGAATCGATGTATGAGTTTTGAACATCGTTAAATTACTCTTGCCAAAATTGACAACAGATTGTATAATGACAGTATATATCAATAGAAAAACACAAACTCATGGTCGGGAATCGGCTAATTTTTCATGATATTTGCATCATAAATTTTACCGATTCAGTTAAACAGAATGCAGGAATCGTATATCTTAGAACTAAGTCTAATGATGCCAATAAAAATATATCAAAATAAAGCAGTTTTCAATATACTATTAATATGATACATTTTTCAAAATATTTGTAACCGGAATTGACCGATTGGCATACGTAATATCACTTTGCACTCATATTTTATTTTGTTTTCTTATATATTATTATAGTTGTCATAACTGCGATCATGCCAAACAATATCACAGCAACACATCCTGCCAAAAGAAATTCGCCTCTTACATGTCTTAAACCATGTCTCTGAAAAATATAAATTAGCTACAAGGTAAAGCGAAACAAAACTACACAAGTATAGAAACAATACATTTTAAAAGATATATAAATGTAAAGATAAGAACAGCTTTTGGAGACAAATAAAAACTACTATCGGTATAATGAATATAAAATAAATGAAAGCTATTGTAATTACGATTTTCTTGTTTGAATTGTGTCACATTTTCAAACTGTTAGAAATGTCGGCGGTTTTTCAGCTTGCTCTGGTTTTTATCATTGTTAAAAGCAGTACGTTGAACTATAGTTGCTAAGCTAACATCCACGTCAATTGGTCTCCAGTGGGTAGTTGTCTCATTAACTATCATACCACATATCATTGTTCTATGTGATAATGATTATTGTTTTAGATTACGAAAAAATACCAAATCTAAGAAATAGTATAAAGGCGGAATGATTTAAAATAACACCTAAAAAATAACTGCTACATCTAAGACATACGACTAAGGTTGAATAATATACAATAAGTATGAGGAAAAAAAATATAGGGGGGAAGAATGATATAAAATAAAAACTAGGAAAAAACTAATACATCTAAGATATAGTACATAGATCGGAATGATATAAAATAAAAACAAAAAATAACCAGTAAATCCTAAGAATCGAATATAGAGTGGACTGAAATAAAATGAAAAAAAAAAAAAAAAAAAAAAAACATGAAAAACCCGCCACATCTGAGGAAGTTCATGGGGTTTAATGATATGAAATAAAAAAAATAGTAAATTACAATACATTTTTGAAAAAGGACATAAGGTGGAATTATATGAAAAAGCAGCCAGTGAATAACCAATAAATCTTATACATCTTAGAATAAGGATATAAGGTGGATGAATGATATTATTAACAACTGAGAAATAAGTCATATTTATAAGAAAAAGACATAGGGAGGATTGTAATAAAATCAAAAATAGGAAAAAACAAAACCAACTAGTAAATAGAATAAATGTCGGAATGATATAATAAAACTCGGAAATAATCAATGCATCTAAGAATTAATACATAGATTGGTACAATATACAACAACTACTACATTTACGAAGCAACCAATACATATAGGGAATAGGATACAGGATAGTTTGATATAAAATAACTACTAGTAAATAGTACATAGGGTAGAATGATATAAACTAAAGGCTAGGAAATAACCACCACATCTAAGACATAGTATATAGGATGGAATGGTATTATATAAGTCCTAGGATATAACCAAAACATCAAAGAAATAAGACAAAGATTAAAATTATATACAATTACTACTAGGAAATGACAAAAAACTTCTGTGAAATAAGACATAAATCAGAATTACACACAATAACTTCTAGGAAATAACCATTACATCTGAGAAATAAGACAAACACAGTAACTGTTAGGAATCATATACAAAAAATAGAGAATATCATATGGTTTTTTCAATATCACATCCGTATCAACCCCAGACACCAATATAATCCCAAGAAATCTGCTCGAGGGATTATATTGGTTGAGGGTTGATACGGTGTGTAATATTGAAAAAGCCAGATCATATACACTTTATTATATACCTCAAATAGATGTTTTTATGTACATGACGTTGTACAGATTAGGGGTTTGATAAAGCCTTTTGCAACAGTGACTGGTATCGATGACGTGACGTGATACAGATTAAAGGTGTGATAAAGCCTTTGCAACCGTGACTGCTATCGATATCACCACGGATGGCTGATACAGTACGATTGCAATTGGTCGTATTACACATACAGTTTATATGTATTTACCACTAAGTATAAAATAACTACAAAGAAATAAACTAAAGATCGAAGAAATAAGACAAAGATTAAAATTATAAACAACTACTACTAGGAAATGATTAAAACATCTAATAAACAGAATACAGGGTGGAAGGATAAAAACGTACAAAAAATGAAAATAACCACATCTAAGAATAGGGGTATATAGTGGGATATTATAATAGAATACTAGGAAAAAATCAATTCATCTTAGAAATAAGACACAGATTCAGATTGGAATTGAATAAAACAACAACTAGAAAATAACCAATTAATCTAAGAAATATTATATAGGTTGGAATGATTATAAACAGATACAATAAAATAACCATTGCATCTAATAAAAAGGGCATAGATTTGACTTATGTAAAATTATAACTAGGAAATATACCGTACATCATAGATATAGTATATAGGGTGGAATAATATATAATAAAAACTAGGAAATAACCACCATATCTAAAAAAACATGATATATAGTGGAATGATATAAAATAAAAACTATGAAATTAACAACATATATAAGAAACATGATATGTGGTGGAATGATATAAAATAAAAACAAGGAATATGTTTGAATTTTGATTGACATGTTGATTTTTTAAATATATGTTACTTTTTAAAAATAACTACCAAGGCAAATATCTAAAGCTCACAGTTGAAATGCAAGAGCACATGCACATAATCCACTACCCCTAGGTAGCCATATCTCCAAGAAAGATTGCATCCCTTATGTAGTATATGATTAAGTTTCTTGAAACAATTTTTTGCACAAAGGAGAAGGTCCGATAAGAGCTAATTTTGGACTAAAATTTAAAGTCCTTCGGATGAAAGATTTTGACATTTTTTAAACTCTTAAGTGTCTACTTCAGTCGATTCAATTAGTTGATGTAAAAGATTTGAACTGATTTGGTCATTAAAGACGCTCAAATTCAAGCTTAAATATGAAAAATCTATCAAATATGCCATAAAACGTCACTTTTCACACGGTTTTTGTATAAAAATGTAAGTGGCTGCACTCGTGTTCAGTTTCAACCTTTATATATGTTATGTATTATCATCAATTACAACATATATATTTAAATATTAAGACTGAACACAAGCGCGGTCACATCAATTTTAGACTAAAATCGCTACAACATTGAGCATGATATTAGGCATAGTGAACTCACAATCAATTATCTTTCTTTTTATTTGTTGTTACAAAATATGGTTATAATCAACTATACAGTATGATTAAGCGTCCGCAAACTACATTTCTGCACAAATTTTAGTTTGATTTTAGCAACTAGGACCTTGATCTTAGACATTATGACTTCAAAATCAATTTTGAACGCAAAACGCGCGTTCCGTATACAAAAGACTAATCAGTGCCGTTCAAATCAAAAAAGTTAAAAAGCCAAATGAAGTACGAAGTTGAAGCGCATTGAGGACCAAAAATTCTGAAAGATTTTGCCAAATACAGCTAAGGTAATCTATATGTAATCAAATAATATTATGTAATATTTGATTTATTCTCCGGAAACAATTTTTTTTTACACACTTTTTTTTTTTAAAGTAACTAGGACCTTGACTTTTAAAATAGTGATCACTAACTCAGTAGGTCAGATAATCTGCACACATTTCTGACTATCTTAAACATACTTTGACCATGGTATAAGCATACTAAATTCAATGTCCCCCGCGTTGCACGTATTTTATCTATCTAGGAGCAATAACTTAAAAAAAAACATTTTTTTGTTGTTCTTTAAAACAATTTATAAATAAAAAGCGAGCGCGAGGGACAAAATTTTTTTTTATATTGAATACTAAATATTTAAAACAGACCTTCAAGGTCATTACTTATAGTATAGTGCCCTATAAGTTTTATAAAAAAAGTGTACCCGTGAAAGCGCTAAACAGGTCATTTTTCATAAATTTAATATTTTCAAGGGTCATAACTCTTTTAAAAAAAGCGATCGTCCACCATTATAGAACTTGTCCGAGATATTGCTGATATTAACCTATAGTATAAGTTTTATAAAAGTCTCTCAAGAATTGTACCTGTGAGAGTGCTAACAAGAACGGACGGACGCCCGGTGTTTCTATATCCCCCGCAACGCGTTGCGCGGGGGACAATAACGAATTTAAAATTATTCTATGTTAACATATCTATCAAACTCAGGTTACAGTACGATATAAAAAATAAAATAGCAAGAATACCGAACTCCATGGAAAATTCAATAAGTCACTTATCAAATGTCAAAACGAAAAGTTCAAACACATCTAACGAATGGAAAACATCTGTCACAAATTCCTGACTTGGTACAGGCATGTCCTTATGTAGAAAATGGTGGATTAAACCCGGTTTTTGTAGCTAGCTAAACCTCTCACTTGTTTAAAATACTGAAAAATTATACGGAAACAAAGATGACACATAGATTGTCGGAGAATAATAGATAGACAGAAGTCATGTATAATCTTACATGCTCATTTTCTTCTTTTCCTGATTCCTTAGTTACGCCTAAAATAGCTCCTAATTCCGTCGTCCCAACAACAAATTTATCTACAATGATAAAAAGCATGTTTTATGTGTATATAATTGTGTGATACATATATATATCTTTAGATTATTAAATCAATTTTAAAGTTTTGAACATTCTCTAATTGGTTTTGAATTTAGAAAAAAATGAAAGATATCCAGTTTACTTCAACTGGAAGAAACAAAACGTCATAATGTTGGGTTATAGCTAGCTTAAACTCTGCGTAAAATAAAGTTTTGAGAAATTGTTTCATTATCAAAAAACAAAATGTTCCAATCCAGTCAGGCGATAATTATTTTTCCAGTAAAGATTACTTCGTGACCTACCTATTGACTCTCATGCAGAAGGGATTTTGATTGAACAGTTTATTACGTTTAACTTCATCCCAAATTTATACCATTGGAAAATAACTCATCAAACACACCAGGTTTTCGTCTACAAAAGACTCATGAGGGACGCTCGAATGAAAAATGAAAAAGACCAAATAAAGTACGAAGAAAAAGAGCATTAAGGACCTACAATTCTAAAAGGTTTTGCCAAAACCAGCATGGAAGAATGCATGTTTTGATATTTTATAGTAGTCTATTGAACTACATTCCGGTTAATTGCATTTATTCTGATTTCCTTCGAATTTTAATTTACTTTTTCCATGATAGGAAGTAATTGCTTCATGGCTCTAATTTTTTGAAACTTTTGTCAGAATGTTCGTTCCTTCAGCCATTAAATAGCAGTTAATGCTATCATTACATAGTAAACACATGTTTAAAATTCTTAAAGACATATATTCTGTGAAATAATAAATGGACTAGCCCGCCCTATATTAAACCAATGAGCACCGTGGAAAGTCAAACAACAACAATGGCAAGGAAAACAGCAAAGATAAAGAAACAATAAATAAAGAAAGAAACTTCATGTGCCACATGTGGAACAGGATCTGCTTACCCTTCCGGAGCACCTGAGATCACCCCTAGTTTTTGTTGGGGTTCGTGTTGCTTAGTCTTTGGTTTTCTATGTTGTGTCATCTTTACTATTATTTGTCTGTTTGTCTTTTTTTTTTGCCATGGTGTTGTCAGTTTGTTTTCGATCTGTGAGTTTGACTGTCCCTCTGGTATCTTTCGACTCTCTTTCACATATTTACTATACATGTGAAAATAAAGAGAGATGTAGGATTAACATAAAAAAAAACAAAGTCAAAAGATAGCAAAGGGACATTCACACATTGTAATGTTGTCAATATAATTGAATTTTATCCGACTGTCATACAAGTAAGAGGTTTAGATAGCTATTAAACCAGGTTTAATCCTCCCTTTTCTACATAAGGAAATGTCTATACCAAGTCAGGACTATAGCAGTTGTTTTCCATTCGTTTGATGTGTTTGAGCTTTTGATTTTGCCATTTGATAAAGGACTTTCCGTTTTGAATTTTCCTTTGAGTTCTTTTTTCAACCTCATTAGTCGAAAAATAAACTGACAATGCCATGGCCCAAAACGAAAAAAAGACCAAAAGACAAACAACAGTATACAAAACACAACATAAACAACTAAAGTTTGAGCAATACGAAACCCCCCAAAAAATTGGGGATGATATAATGTGCACCGGAAGTGTAAGCAGATCTTGCTCCACATGTGACACCCTTCCTGTTGTTTAAGGAATGACTGTAATATTTTTTTCTGTCTATGATGAAATGATGGTGAAAACATGAGGGTTATTTAAAAGTGTGCACAACATTTTTCAGGCTATTTCTTAAAAACAGAAAAAATATTACAGTCATTTCTTATAATTTAATCCTAAATTTCATTTTTAAGGAGTAAACCATGAAAAAAAACGTTGACAAAATTATGTCTATGAACTGGTAGTAAAAAAACTTTTAGCCAATCAGAAGACGTGGTACATCCAAAATTAAATTATTTGGGTGTGTTGACAACACAAACGACACAACAATCCTAACAGACATCTTAAAATTAATAATTTACTTGCGTTACATATATATAGCCAATCGGGACAATCTAGCCATATGTAAGAGTTAGGGTTGACAGCTTGTTAACTGCAATCGATCTATTTGAGCAGTCAAAATGCGTTGATTGTATCAATTATATGATATACAGTCACTGTCCATATGCATTTTAAGCAAAGCTTATTCTTTAAAATTTGCAATAAATTGACCACTGACTGATTTTAACAACACACTAATTTGAAACGTAACAATTTTATTCCGACAAAATTAAATGGAATTTCAAAGGGTTCACATTTAACATCAGTTTTAAAACTATAACAACAAACAAATTTAATATTTTGAATTGGTATGAATTCATTAGGGGCTATAGTATAAAAATAAGAGCAGTGATTTGACTTGGTATAATAATGATATAGGGATTAGTAAGAATATTTTCTAGTACCTATTCTTATACCGATATTTTGTCAGATCAATACACTTTATTCTCTATATATTGATGTATAGTTCTGTAAAAAATGAAAACAACACTTTATGAATTTGATTCGTCTTAAGCGCTTTTCTGGGTTTGCCTTCATCAGAAGCCAAAAATGTATAAGAACCGAAACCGTTGAAGAAAGTTTACTGTTAACCAAAAATTAAAATCATTCAAAACATTATTTTTTTCTACAACCAGATATAGATGGCTTTAGCATATACAAACAACTGTTTGGGAATATACGTTTCAAATAATCCTCAACTTCGAAATTCATTTAATTTGGCAAATGTTTCGATTCGAGCACCTGGTGTTCTTTGTTATAAGCCTGTTATCTATGATCATTTTTTTTTTGTAAATTCAAATCTTTATAGGAAAGGGGTAAGTACTTTATACGTACCAATACAGGTATTATCATCTGTATCATAATGCTGCGTAGCTGGCAGTTCGCACTTGCATTTATTGTCCGAACAAAGCAAAGGAGGGTAACAACTGGTATCTCTGGCCGCAGTCGAACAATTACCATGGAATTTCCCAACTGTAATAAAATGCTTTACTTTTACTCTGTTTAAAGTAGTCTTGAATATATTTGGCCTGATTGGGCTCTGTTTCAATTAGTATGGTATAAACAATTATTACTGTTGCTGTCTTTCATATTTGCTTTTCGTTCATTAATTTGTACATTTATCAGGCCTTTAGTTTTCTCGTTTGAATTTTTTACATTTGTCATTTCGGGGCCTTTTATAGTTGACTATGCAATATGGGTTTCACTCATTGTTGAAAGCCATGCGGTGACCCATAGTTGTTAATTTCTGTGTCATTTGGTCTCTTGTGGAGAGTTGTCTCATTGGTAATCATACTACATCTTCTTATTTTTATATAAGTATCAACTTTTCTATAATAAAATGCACGCAAAACAAGGTTAACTGTTTGAACAACGCTCGATAAAGTTAAGTTAATAATGTTAGCATGCTTAAAAGTTGTTTTATTAATTAACATTTTTATTGAAGACGTATTTTCTGTAATCAATACTTTAATATACAAATAAGGAGATGAGATCTGGGTGCCAATAAGAGAACTATCCCACAGACGTGAACAACTTTCGGTCACCCTTCTAACTTCAGAATGATGTACATTGTGGGCAAATATATAATTTATTTGTATAAGCTTTAGAAACAGGACGAAAAGCGAGGCTTGTCGAGTTTTTCTCATGTTTCGTAGCGATTACAAATAAATCTTATATTTCCGGCGAAGAACATATATTGTTTTTATTCTTTAATTTACATCCAACACTTTAAGGTTAAGTCATTTGAATACCAGCTATTATACCAGCTTTAAAACCAGGTATAATTCATCATTTTCTACCTAAGAAAATGCCTGTACCAAGTCAGGAATATGACCGTTGTTTTCCATTCGTTTGATGTGTTTGGGCTTTCGATTTTGCCATTTGATAAGGAACTTTCCGTTTTGAAATTTTCCTTAGAGTTCGGTATTTTTTTTATTTTACTTTTGAATCCAAATATTTATTTTTGACTTAGGAAAAATATCGACATAGCTTAAACGCGGACTGCCAAGAGAACCCCGAATATACATGGAAGCGTAGTATCAGTAAACTCTATTTGCACATTTAAAATAAAGCCAAAAATTATTCGTGTACATGTTATTTATACAATAGTTGGCTTAGTGCAGGATTAATACTTATATTAAGATATAAAATGCCGAGCAGGACAAAATGTGACATAAATCATAATAGAAGACAAAGCCAAAGAAACAGTAGGATAGTTATTAGTTTAGTTTATTGCTTATAAATCATTAACTAATATCAATATTATCAACAGGACATGATCTACTGATCCCTTGTGATCTCAGGTCTAGGGTATCACTCCTTTTGAGCAGTTCGTATGTCTTTGCGAGTTTATTTTTGCAATGATGTGCAACTGAGCAAAATAGATTATTATTTTTTCTTTTCGACGAGATAGCATAGTGGCAAATTTTAAAATAGTAAAAACTTAGGTGAAAAACCTAAAAATAATTATTACTTAATATTCGATACTTTATAATAAAACTACATCGGTATATTATACGTTTAACTAGTTTTTCAACTATAGAGCAGTTGCTATTTTAAATAATAACGATATATGATATCAATTCATATTGATATGAAATTCTTATGGTTCGGACAGAAATGATGATACTTATGTAGACAATAAACAGCTGCGCCATGAGCACATGATATTCCCGTCGTTTTTACAAAGAATAACATTCCATAACTCCTAAATGTCATATCAGAAATTTAAAAAAAAAACAAAGGGAGCTCACGTCAATAGAAATAAAGCAATCACCAAAGTTTCATGAAAACTGCTCAAAGCACTTTTGAGTTATTGTCCTAAAACAGGAAAATCCCCCTTTTTTAATGAATAAAACCCCATAACTCGGAAACGTAAAATTCAAAATTCATATAAATCCAAAAGGCAGCTCATTTCAATAGATATAAATAATGCATCAAAATTTCATGAAAACAGCTCAAAGCACTTTTGAGTTTTTGCCTGAAAACCGGAAATTCCCCCCTTTTTTAATGAATTAAAACCCATAACTCGGAAACGTAAAATCTAAAATTTTTAAAATCAAACGGCAGCTCACGTCAACAGATATTAACAATTCACCAAAATTTCATGAAAACTGCTTAAAGCATTTTTTAGTTATAGTCCGAAAACTTGAAAATCCCCCTATTTAAATGAATAACACCCCATAACTCCGAAACGTAAAATCTAAAATTTATAAAATACGAAAAGGAGCTCACGTCAATAGATATAAACAATTCACAAAAGTATCATGCAAATTGGTTACAGCGTTTTTGAGTTATTGTACGACATTATGACGACGCACGGACTGAGGGACTGACAGACCGACGGACGGACGGACAACGGTATACCATAATACGTCCCGTAAACGGGCGTATAAAAACAATAGCAAGGCTTACAAAATCATAAAGGCTGGTATCTATGATAGTTTTTCTTTCCAAAACAAAAGAGGTCCGCATAAGATAAAACCAAGACACTCCTGCACCCCTAAAAAACAAAAGCCACAAAAACCATTACAAATATTCTGTTATATTGCATTTATACTTTTGACTTTTCTATAAAAGTTAAAACACAACTATATACCATGATTACCTACTTGGTTTACAACTTTTATCACTTGGGTCGTGATATTGGGTTTCCGGAATTTTGCAATCACATATACCAGAAACACAAACCATATTATTGTAACAAGTCGATTCTCCAACTGGTGTACAATCATCTTTGTATGTTCTTCCTATTGATAAAAATATGCAGAATTGGTGTCTGTAACACATATTGGGCAACACTAGTTTACATATGTTCAAAACTTGTTTAACCAGTGAAAACACACACACTATATGAAAAAAGGAATCACACGTTCTTGAATGAGAGTAAGAACGGTTGAATTGAATGTGTAAGCGTGACTTGATATTAATGCCTCACCCGCCAAATGGAACTAGATTGACTCGAAATGTCAAGAAAGGGAAAGAATGCAATTGGTAGTTTATTCATTCGACACGTCAGAATACATTTCTAAAAAAATTAGATTAAAAAAACTTAAATGTCTCTCGATAGTTGAGACACATTTACCTTGCATCTTTTGAATAATTAGTATTATTGAAACTTGCCTAATTTTGGTTTCAGTCGTTCACCTTTTCTGACTTGATAAAATTGAGAATGGAAATAGGGAATGTGGCAAAGAGACAACAACCCGACCATAGAGCAGACAACAGCCGAAGGCCACCAATGGGTCTTCAATGCAGCGAGAAACTCCCGCACCCGGAGGCGTCCTTCAGCTGGCCCCTAAACAAATATGTATACTAGTTCAGTGATAATGGACGTCATACTAAACTCCAAATTATACACTCATATACATATATAGAAACTAAAATAAAAAAAGATACAAGACTAACAAAGGCCAGAGGCTCCTGACTTGGAACGGGCGCAAAAATGCTGCGGGGTTAAACATGTTTTTTGATATCTCAACCCTCCCCTTATACCTCTAGCCAATGTAGAAAAAACAAACGTACAACAGTACGCACAGTAAAACTCAGTTTAAGAGAAGTCCGAGTCCGATGTCAGAATAGGAAACAAAAGAAAATAAACAAAATGACAATAATACATAAATAACAACAGACTACTAGCAGTTACTGACATGCCAGTTCCAGACCTCAGTTAAACTGATTGAAATAGTATGTCTTCATCATATGAATATCAGGCACAATCCCTCCTGTTAGTGGTTTAGTATTATACCATCATAAAACATATGAGAAGAACATAACCCGTGTCATGCCAACAACTGGTTTTAGAATAAATATGTTTAATTCCGATGCAAAGACCCTATAAGTGAATCAATATTAAAGTCAAAATATGCAATCTTTAATGACCTGACAACAGTATCATAACTATATCCCTTCTTAATAAGTCTGTTTAAAGGTTTTGTTAGCTTTGGAGATGAATACTGACATTTTTGTGCTTTGTAAAGAATATTACCATAAAAGATTGGATGTGAAATACCCGAACGTATAAGATGTCTGCATGGTGAGTTATATTTACGAATAATGTCCTTATACCGATGATAAAATTTAGTTAATGTTTTGACTAGTTTATGATATCGAAAACCCTGGTGTAATAATTTTTCAGTAATACATAAATTTCTCTCGCTAAAATCTAATACGTTGTTATATACACGAGCGAATCGTACAAGTTGGGATATAGAAACACCATTAGATGGTGACAAGGGAACGTCACCATCTAAAAATGGATAAATAACGATAGGAAATGAAAATTCATCTCTTTTATCATAAATTTTTGTATTAAGCTTCCCGTTAATGGTATAGATATCAAGATCGAGGAAAGGACAGTGGTCATTGTTAGTATTAGCTTTATTTAAAGTAAGTTCAACAGGATAAATTTCTTTAGTATACATACTGAAGTCGTCATTATTGAGAGCCAATATATCATTCAAGTTTCTAAAAGTATTGTTAAATTTTTGTATCAGATGTTGTTTCGATTGGTCTCTGCTGATTTTAGTCATAAATTGTAACTCATAACAATACAAAAACAGGTCCGCAATAAGTGGTGCACAGTTAGTCCCCATTGGAATTCCGATAACTTGACGATATACGGAATCTCCAAAGCGAACAAAAATGTTATCAAATAAAAATTCAAGGGCAGATATAGTATCGAAGCATGTCCAATTGACATAGCTCTTTTGTTTGTTGCTACTAAAAATGACCTAAAAGTGTATGAACATATGTATTCGCATTCCGACTTTTTAAACGCCCATTTAATTAGGTGAGTGAATTTTTTCTTAATAAGAATATGAGGCAAAGTGGTATATAGGGTAGAAAAATCCAAACTTTGAACAGATTCAAAATCACCAATATATGCATGCAATTTATCAAGTACTTCCAACGAGTTTTTGTCGCTCCAAAAGTAGTCAATTCCACTATTTTCAAAGGTCTTATTTGAACAATTTATTATCAGGTTTTTGATTGTACCAAGTGTACTAGTAAGTAGAATAGACAATTTAGTAGTGGAACAATAACTTGAAGACGAAATAAATCTATATTTGTAAGGTGATTTGTGTAGCTTCGGAAGCCAGTACATAGTTGGGACTTTCATTATATTTGGTTCTGCTTGTAAAGACGTATTTTAAGAAGTAGCTAATAGTTTATGTTTGTTACAGATATCGTTTTCTGAGAATGAAGTCAGTTGGAATGGTGAATTCGTGATTTCCTTTTGCAGAACCTCAATGTAAAATTTACGTCAAATTATAATGATATTATTAGCAGCTTTATCAGCCGAGACAAAAACAAATTCCTTGGCTAGTTCTTTTAGTTTATGTTTGATACGAGAAATAGGATTTTTATGGTTGTTGTTAAGAGTAAAATGTTCTTTAAAATGTTGTATACGTATATCAACTATCTTCATTACTGAATTAAAGAAAGAGTCCAAAGATTTTTTTTCAGCTTTTTCCCGTTTTATCCATTCAAACAGTAAGCACGAAGTGAGTTGTGGATGATATTACGACACTCATTCCAATTAATAATTGACGGGGGACGATATTTAGGTCCTTTACTAAGGAATGATTTTTACTCTCGGTCGCGAATGATGTTAAGGTCTCCTGTTATAACATGGGAAATGGAGCCATAAGTGTATTCGGAATTACTACAGTTACATGACGGAGGTGTATTTTCACTGATATTCACATCTTTACACACTTGGCTATAATTAAACACAAATTTTCGGGTAGATTACTTGTAAATATAACAAATAAGAGGGAGTTCAGTATTATCAAAATATCCAGGAATTTGTTCTTTAACATAATGGTCGTTAAAAATACAATATTTACAAAATCAAAACCTTTATTGACATACTTTATTTTAATAAAATGTTTTTTATGATCTTCAGGGCGATCAATTTTGGGAAACAGTTTAGAATAACAATATTCCATTATAATTTGAACGATTTCATACTTAGGACTGCGATATGAAATTGTGTTGCAATCCTCTAAAATTGTATTTAATTTATTTATAGGTAAAGAACAGAGCTTGGTTAATAGATAATGTCTGCCGTTGTTTTTTGATGTTTGCGTTAGGACCACATCCCTGCTATAAGGCCGTAGGTTCTTTTATTACTTCTTGTTGTTTTGATAAATTTTATCAAAAAGTGAAAAGTTTTTTTTTTTTTTTTATGAGAACATGTACACATCTTAAACTTACAGGAAGGTGAGTTTTTTTGCTCCGTGTTGAAGGCCTCAAACTGACTAAATAAAAGCGCTGTTCATTTGCTTTTTGTGAATTGTTTTGCTGTGCATGTACTGATTTTATGTCATGGATGGATACCCCACATCCATTATTTTTCTATTATGCAGTACAATTACCAGTTCAGCTTTGAACTTATAAAAAGAACACTATATATTTCTAATGCGATTGAGATTTTAGATTTACTGTAAATTTTAACTTCCTATAAAAGCATGATTTAGACACACCAATATTATTGCTTGAGGTTTTTGTATTTGTCTTGAAAAGAAGATAATGTATCCACAACCTCCTGCTCCGTAAATGTTTGAGCATTATATTGTGCTCAGAGAACTTCGAAAATTTTGAATATGTGTCTGAATACATGTGATAAAATATAAGCAGAAGAACAACAGATGATGTTTTCTGTTTTGAGTGTTTTATGTGCAGTATGAGTATACTAAATTTAGTGGATTCGTTTGCACACTATCATATTGAGTAGGCGTGTGCCTTAACTCATAAAGGTGAAATTATCGTTTTGAGAATTTTATGGACGCCATCACGAGTTAGTTGACCGTTATAGAATATCTGTTTCACCGATTACGACGGATATGTACCAATTGTCGTAACCACAATGCCGTCCTCTTCTCCTCGAATGTGACCTACTGATTAAGACTAATCACTGGGTTTGACCTAACATGAGCAACACGACGGATGAAACATGTGGAGAAAAATCTGCTTGCCCATCCGGAGCACCTGAGATCAACTCTCTTTTTATGTAGTGTTTTGTGTACTGTTGATTGTCTCTTCGTCGTTTTTCATTTTTTGCCATGGCATTTTCTGTTTGTTTTCGAATTAAAAGTTTGAATATCCCATTGGTATCTTTCGCCTCTATTATATATATTTGCGGTGTTACATATTAAGACACCACAATTATCGTCTAATAGCTTAATTTGTCGGTTGTTTCATATTCCCTTCTTTGACATTTTATGTCAGTCATGATGGATTATTCGCGCATAAAAAAAGACTCTCATTCGTTTGCAGATCTCGGACTGTTGGCGTTAATGTTTTTTTGTTTTGTTTATCTCGGTTTGTAATTATTTACGAGGTCTGAAACAGGTTAACTTCTATTGGGTCTTATCTAATAAAATGAAACAGTTTACTGACTAGCTATGTGCATATATGGTTTCAGTCCACTCTCTATCTCACAATACTTTGCTGGAGTCGTTTATGTTAACGTATCACCGGTAATTACTCATCAACTGACTATATTTTTGGTTAGTCTGTCTATTCGTTTTTCTTGATTCTTCAAAAATTAAAATTAAAAGGAAAAGGAAAAAAAAGTCACGTACTAATTCTATACTCTTTGGAACTAACGAGTCGTTGTAATGTTATAGTATTACAATTGAAAATATATATTTCAGTGTCTAATGTACCTGTTTTTAGACCGGTCATTCGTGATAATTTTTTTGTAGACGAGACTCGCGTCAGGCGTACCAA